CGGCTCAAAGGCCGTGCGATCCGACGAGTTATCATGAATCATCAAAGCAACAGGCAGAGCCTGCGTCGACCTTTTATCTAATAAATGCATCCCTTCCAGAAGTCGGGGTTTGTTGCACGTATTAGCTCTAGAATTACTACGGTTATCCGAGTAGTAGATACCATCAAACAAACTATAACTGATTTAATGAGCCATTCGCAGTTTCACAGTCTGAATTAGTTCATACTTACACATGCATGGCTTAATCTTTGAGACAAGCATATGACTACTGGCAGGATCAACCAGGTAGCATCCATCAACGACTTTGTTCCACGTGCCAGTGTTGCCACCACGGATGGTTAAGCAAGACCGACACCACGGCAAAGTGTCATTCAAGGGAACCGATAAATCAAAGGGACTCAACGGGACAAACTGGTCAGCCCACGTTCGCCGCATGCACCGCATCCAAGGGAACACTAGACACGTGTGAGAACGCAAGCCATTACTATGCACAGCTAACACATCACACGCATCACTTCCGAATCCTCCAACAACCTCTCGAGGGGTCTGGATGGAACGGGTCATAAGAGGCACGTGAATACCACTTAACAGGTAGGCAACACAAGAACCATAATCGAACGCCGGGCCAAAATGACACAAGGCGAACATGACAAGGGCTGTGTGCTGAAAGTTCGATGACCACGACCATGGAGCCAGACAGCACAAACATCCCAAATGCCACTCACACGCCCTCCCGTTAGAGAGACTCGACGGTACCAGACAAACCACTCCCGGCAATGCCAAAGGCAAGCTAGCAAATGGAAAGACATGGTGCCGCCGGATCCGCTACGTCGGGCGCAAATAGAAAAGTTAACCGGCAAAATCGATAGGGACCAAGGCTCACAATTTTTCCGACTGCGAAATACTGCCAAAACGCACTTCCGAAGATCAAGATCACGCCTCTAAGTCTGCCAAACAGGATGCCACGGGCTACGGAAACCCCAAGGAGAGCGTGGACAGAATTACCCGACATGCCGAAAAACTTCCATGGGAAAAGGCTGCACCTAGTCACAATCCAATGGGACTTCCGCCGCTTCGTGCTGCGGATATAGCCCAAAAGGCTTAAGCTAGCGCCACATCCTCCTTCCATAAATAACGGGTCACACAAGAATCCCAGGAACGTCCGAGGGATGCACGCAACGACCCAACTCGGCACTGTGAGGCCAGACCGGCACCTCAACAGCACACACTTTTCCGAGGGACGAGGCAACAGGAGACGAGTTGTTGATTGCTTCAACCATGGCCGTGCCTTGGCTTCGACCGTGTTGAACCCCCACAGAGTGCACTTCCGGATGTTTGGGAACTTGCCCCTCAGTGCTACGGATATGCCACTGAAGGGAACGCGTAGACCCACATCCTTCCGTGCAGAACGGGTCACACTAGAAGCCTCGGCGCGTCCGAGGGATGCCAACAGCTACCCATCTCGGCACTGCGAGGCCAGGCCGGCACCTCAACAGAGCACACTTTTCCGAGGGACAAGGCGACAGGAGAGACGTTGTTGGTTGCGTCAAACACGGCCGCACCTTGGCATCAACCATGATGAACCGCCCATGGTGCACTTCCGGATGATTGGGAACTTGCCCCTTCGTGCTAAGGATATGCCCGTGGAGGCTTCACCTAGCGCCACAACCTTCCGTGCGGAACGGGTCACACTGGATGCCTCGGCACGTCCGAGGGATGGCCGCAACTACCCACTGTGATGCCAGACCGGCACCTCGACCAAAGGGACGAAGGCATCAAGATTTTTGACTTGGACCTTGAGGAACAAGCAAAGAACTTGCTGCACGCCAAATGTGTCATGGTGCCGGATAAGCTCACTACGAGATGCCCACATTTTTCCGTTGGACCAGCCAGAACCGGGACACGTACGACCTGGATTCGGCATGGACTATTTTTGACTCGGTCGAATTTCCCACATCGCCATGGAAAAACGCACCAGCATGCTTGGGAAAGCTTGCTGGGGCGCTGGGAGGGAGCCCCATGGCACGCCATCCTGACCCACCAAGGTGCGTGGGCAGGCAGGCAGCTCCCCCCTATAGTAGGCTAATATGCAAAAACCCGCTCTCCAGCACCGGACATCCTTTTTTCTGGGGAGACATACTCGGTTTTTTTGAGGCTACGGGTCGAAGTTTGACCTGATTTTTAGCACAAGTGCTTATAAAAAGTGGGAGCAAGTGGTCCACAAAGTTTCACGATTTTTCTCCGAGCCGATACTTTTTCATGATTTTCCTAGCCGACGAGCTTTATGTCATTCCCGAAAATTAGAAAATGGGTGTGGACCATGTTTCTTGAGCTGTTCTATTGCAGGAGTTCCAGGAATATTATTCATAAACATTTCCCAGAGTTACGTCCATGTAAGGTCGAGGCATTTACCTCAAATGATTTTCAACCGACGTGCGGCACAATCCATGATGCCCTGACGGACACACGTGCCATGGCTTGGGTGAGTGTGCCATAGGCTAGGCCACGCACCACATGAATAAGGGACTATGTGTGTATCGTGGACTTTGCACCAATTCGACTAATCGCACACACAAGTTGCGGATCCACAACCCTCGAAGAGCAAAGTGGAAAACCAAAAATTCAAGATATCAATCTTGATGAGGCAAGTGATTCCAGATGCAACACATGAATAAGGGACTGCGTGAATTCCTAAACTCTGAAGGGTGAGCCAGATCAGACCCCCCAACACACTTCTAAGAGTCACAAGCCAACAAGCAACACAGTGTCACATGCCCTTATCTTTAACCAAACCTGCACTGAGAGGCCACAATCAAGACCCTCGCTTCCGCCATGGGAACCACCCACAACACACTACCAGATTATGGGACTTACGCCCCTTCGTGCTCTGCATATATGCCCATGAAGGGTTCACCGAGCACCACAACCTTCCGTGCAGAACGTGCCACAGTAGAAGGCACGACAATTCCGAGGGATCCCCGCAACAAACCAACTCTGCACTGTGAGGCCAGGCCGGCACCTCAACAGAACACTTTCCCGAGGGACAAGGCGACAGGAGAAACATTGCTGATTGATTCGACCACGACCGCCCCATGGCTCCAACCGTGTTGAACAGCCCAGGGTGCACTTCCGGATGCTTGGGAACTTGACCCATGCATGGTGCTGCGGATACGCCCAAGAAGGGTTCACCGAGCACCACAACCTTCCGTGAACAACGGGCCTCGGTAGAAGCAACGACAATTCCGAGGGATCCCCGCAACAAACCAACCCTGCACTGTGAGGCCAGGCCGGCACCTCGACAGAACACTTTTCCGAGGGACAAGGCGACAGGAGAAACATTGCTGATTGATTCGACCACGTCCGCCCCATGGCTCCAACCGTGTTGAACAGCCCAGGGTGCACTTCCGGATGATTGGGAACTTGACCCATGGTGCTGCGGCTACGCCCATGAAGGGTTCACCGAGCACCACAACCTTCCGTGCAGAACGGGCCACAGTAGAAGCCACGACAATTCCGAGGGATCCCCGCAACAAACCAACTCTGCACTGTGAGGCCAGGCCGGCACCTCAACAGAACACTTTCCCGAGGGACAAGGCGACAGGAGAAACATTGTTGATTGATTCGACCACGACCGCCCCATGGCTCCAACCGTGTTGAACCGCCCAGGGTGCACTTCCGGATGCTTGGGAACTTGACCCTTCGTGCCTGAAGATATTACCAAAACCATCCGTGCAGATCAGGCCACACATGAACACACGACAATTCCGAGGTATCCGCAACAACCCATCTCGGCACTGTGAGGCCAGGCAGGCACCTCAACAGCGCACACTTTTCCGAGGGACAGGCAACAGGGGACACGTTGCTGATGGCCTCAACCACAAACGCGCCATGGCCTCAACCATGTTCAACCGCCAAAAGTGCACTTCCGGATGCTTGGAAACTTGCCCCTTCGTGCTACGGCCATGCCCATTAGAGCAACACCTAGCGCCACATCCTTCCGTGCAGAACGGGTCACACGAGAAGCCTCGGCACGTCCGAGGGATGCCCACAACTACCCATCTCGGCACTGTGAGGCCAGGCCGGCACCTCAACAGAGCACACATTTCCGAGGGACGAGGCGACTGCAGAGACGATGCTGATGGCCTCAACCACTACCGCGCCATGGCCTCAACCATGTTCAACCGCCAAAAGTGCACTTCCGGATGCTTGGACACTTGCCCCTTCGTGCTACGGCTATGCCCATTAAGGCAACACCTAGCGCCACATCCTTCCGTGCAGAACGGTCCACACGAGAAGCCTCGGCACGTCCGAGGGATGCCCACAACTACCCATCTCGACACTGTGAGGCCGGGCCGGCACCTCAACAGAGCACACATTTCCGAGGGACGAGGCGACTGGAGAGACGTTGCTGATTGCTTCAACCTTGGCCTTGCCTCGGCTTCGACCGTGCTGAACCGCCCAGAGTGCACTTCCGGATGTTTGGGAACTTGCCCCTCAGTGCTACGGATATGCCACTGAAGGGAACGCGTAGACCCACATCCTTCCGTGCCGAACGGGTCACACTAGAAGCATCGGCGCGTCCAAGGGATGCGCACAACCACCCATCTCCGCACTGTGAGGCCAGGCCGGCACCTCAACAGAGAACACTTTTCCGAGGGACGAGGCGACTGGAGAGACGTTGCTGATTGCTTCAACCATGGCCTTGCCTTGGCTTCGACCGCGTTGAACCGCCCAGAGTGCACTTCCGGATGTTTGGGAACTTGCCCCTCAGTGCTACGGATATGCCACTGAAGGGAACGCGTAGACCCACATCCTTCCGTGCCGAACGGGTCACACTAGAAGCCTCGGCGCGTCCGAGGGATGCGCACAACTACCCATCTCGGCACTGTGAGGCCAGGCCGGCACCTCAACAGAGCACACTTTTCCGAGGGACGAGGCGACTGGAGAGACGTTGCTGATCGCGTCAAACACGGCCGCGCCTTGGCTTCGACCATGATGAA